AGAATGGAAGCAGACTCTCCAAGTCTGCTACGCCAAGCAAACAAATCCAGCTAAGAAATATATTTACAAACAAAATTTAATAGCAACTTGCTTGACCTGGTCACTCTCCCCTCCGTGTTATAATTATATACAGAAAATAAGCATTAGGTAATTATTAAAGACTTGTCTAAACAGCTTTCTCCATAATAAACAAAAGTGAAATACACCACTCAATGAGAAACGCTGCGCCTGCTTTCAATATTCTGGACTATTTTACAAGCAAAAGCATGCAGCCCAGGATTTCTAGGATTTGTTTTATTTGTGACCAGATATGGTACTTTAGACTGCTAGGGAGGGTAGCTCATGAATCTGGAGAGCAGCAGTAGCAACTTCTTTTTAAAAAGAAAAACTACAACATCAAAACATTAAATGTTAACACACACAGACACATACACACATAGACATACAGATACGAATCAACAAATTCATAATCAAATCTTGACACAGAGTTCTAAAATGATTTTTTGGTTTGCATACACAAGTACTGAAATATTTAAAGTCCATCTAAGTAGTCTTTCAAGGCCTGACAGCACAAAAATGAGACTTCACTAAATAAATAGCTGAAGCACAATGTTTTCATTATAGTTATATTTCCATTAAAATGTTTACTTACACACATTTCTTTTCATCTTAGGGAACACTGGCAGACTCAATCTTGAGAACCCTTTATACATCTCATTGTAATCAATTGTTACTACCCCAGTCCATTGCATTCATTTTATATTGCCACATAACAGATTCACACAAATCTAGTAACTTGAGAAAAAGCACTCCCTTATTTTCTCATAGTTCTGGGGGTTGGACATATTCTGAACCTGACTCTCCCTTGCAAGTTCTTTACCTTGAGGTTTTAGGATGAATGCCCCTGGTCTTTAGATTACTATTTGCCAGGAGTCACTTCACTGCTGGAACACACTTCTTGGTCCTCTGATTTTCTGCCTCTTTCCCTCACTTCTTGATAAAACTCAGTGCTTTTCAAGAGCTCAGGTGATGAGAAAAGGCTCACCTGAGAACCTCTCTTTGGATTAACCCAAAAGCACCTGATAGGTAGCTTCAATCTCATCAACACAATCCTTTTTTGCCAAATGATTTCACATAAACGGGTGTGTGCTACTTAAGGATAAATTGGGGCTGACAATCTTGCCTGTATAAGATTCCGCCTAAAACATTTCAATCTATCATGTAAGTAACATTAACACAATTGTGTAAAATACTGTTGAGTTATTGTATTTGCCAAGTTTTTATTGATTTGATAATAATTTGACTCAAAATACTTTAAAAATCAGCTACAACAAATTTAAAACTAATTTACCATATTAAATGATGGGTAAGTAGTGAAAGCTACAGTTCTATCCTCCAATAACATTACTCATTAAATTAATTTCCATAACTTATCTGCATTTTTTATGTCTCTAGACTCTCTTATCCTGTGTTAGCAAATGATAAATATGTAAAGTGATGAATTTGTTAATTCGTTTTAATTTGTCCACAACATAAGCATACATCAAAACATCACAATGTGGTGCATAAACAGACAAAATTATCATTTGTCAATTAAAACTAAAACTTTCAAGAGCAGTTTAAAATTAAATTAAAAGGCAGTGCCTTCAAAGTACTGTGGTTTTGCTACACCAAACTTGACCAGGATTTAGGAAATCTTTAACTTGCTGCAGCTCTGTTACTAAGCTGTCAGATAATTGGGCAAGTCACTTTTTATAGATCATTAATTATGTTCTTGAGAGACACTCATGTTATCCATGCCAAAAAAGTACTTGACTTCCAATTATTATACAAAACGCTTGCCAAATTCTGCTTGAATCCCCACTGTGGCATGTTACATGATCTCTATTTTCAAAATACGAACTTCTGTATATTGAAGTAGAAGAACTATTTCTCGCACAGTAAACTGCGGTACTGAAAACCATGCAGATCAAGACTCATTCCTTCTTTATATATAGCAGTCTCTGAAACCTTTGAGGACTGTTTACAGGGTCTTCCTTACAGACGTCTATCAGTTTATCTTTTCCATGAATTTGAATTGAATAATAGACATTCTGCTTGTCATGGGCAGCTACAGATTCATAAGGACTAGTGTGGAGGCCAAGAATTTCAAATCCTTCCATGGCTTGCTCTTCCACCATCTGGGTCAGGTGCTCTTTCCTGGAGCAGAATCAGAACTGGACCTCATGATCTTTTTCCATCTCTTGCTTTGCAATCCGTTCATACACAGAATACATGCTACCGGGGCATCTTTTACATCTTATTGTTAACTCAAATAGATCTTCATGATCTTGACTCAGCTTTGAAACAATCCAGGCAATAACACATTACGAACTCTCCTCTGGCTCGAGTTTTCCAGATTCTGAGAAACCTGGATTAACAGTGTTCTAGTTAACGGGTGCCATTTGCATTATTTTCAAATAAAGAAGATACCGTATATTTTGCATTTGACAAAGGTCAAGAAGCTTATATAATTTATATAAATTTTAGTAGAATCCAAGTAAACTATTTAGCACTTTCATTGTGCAGTATGATTCAGTCACCAGGAACCATTCAAATATTCACCACAAGCCATTTCAAGGGTAACTTGGGCTTTGATGGTCTGTTCTCATAAGCTGCTAGGCTCTCCATAAAAATAGAAAGCCCACATAGGCAGTAATCTCCAGTTTTGCTTTTCTCCACAGCAGTCAAAGCCATTTCCTGTCCTCTAACCTTTAATTTAACAGAGGCGGCCTGTCACAATAGGGCCATCTTTGTCCAGCTCTGCGGGCGGCGTCGCCTTTGGGTCACAGAATGTCAGCTTCTGTAACAGACAGGTACACTAGGTATTCTTGTTCTGGGATTGTACAGAAGACAGCCTATTTACCAGCTGGGGAAAAGCAGCACGTATTTACACTCTCACGAAAGCCTTCTCTAACCAAGCAGTGACAAAGATGTTGCTCATGTCTGCAAGGAGTGGCGCACATATTTCCTGTTAAAAAAATCGTTAGAAAATCTTTCATTCATAGAGTTTAAGAAAAATGAACAGCACTTCTTGAGAATCTGCAAGTTATGTAAGAGAGCATAATAGCTGCAATCTGGCTCTTTTATCATCATGTAGTGCAGATTCATGTTTGTGCTGCCAATTGTTTTTGTCTATAAAAAAAGAATAACCACGTCTTTCTTTTGTGCAATCAAGTTTTTCAAAGATTTGCTCAGACGCAGAGACCTGTAAGAGTCAAACGGAAAGCTGAAAACTGAGCCCTCTCTCTGTGATTGGATGTTTGGGGGGAAATGTACCAATTTGGGGATTTTTATACACGAAACTAGAGACATATTCAGGGGAGAAGTAAGAGGAGAAAGACAAAAATTTCTGGAAATAACAGAAAATTCCCCCCAAAGTGATTCGTTTTGCTGTTTCATGCTGAATGTTAGGTCCCCACGATCTGCATGTGCCCAAGGCTTTCCTAGGCTTTCACCATCGTAACTGAGTGTCCACCATGGGGACCACTGCCCAGTCTCATGCTGGCAGCATCAACTCCTCTGTCCTCCCTTCTCAAGGAAAAGTTGTTTTTCTGAAATGCAAATCTGCTCCTGTTGCTCTCCTGCCTCCCTCTTTCATATATCACTGGTGCTCTCAGGATGAGGTCCAAGCTCCTCAGGTGGCCTGAAGAGCCCTCCAGATGAATGACTCATCACCCTCCACACTCCTGCCTTTTGTAGGTCTCACACAATTACTTTAAGTCCTGAAAAAGCAGACCCACAGAGTCCATGCCTGTGAAGATGCACGGTTCTCTGCTGCGTGCAGCCACCATTTCTCACTCTGGTTCTGCTGAGACCCTGGAAACTCACTGGTTCCACCTTTGACAACACCATGCTGTGCATGTGGCCTTTCCCCTCACTCTACTCATCCTCATAAACACCATATGATCTTATCTGATTGCTTGGATTTTCATTACATATTGGTTTAAGTACTAAACTGAGAATCCTGAGGATAAGGGCTTGTGAGACCATTTCTCTGTAACACTGCTTTTGAGTTTATGGAGTCACTGAACCAATTTATTGAGTAAACTGTTTCAACCTCAATAAATAGTCAACTACAAATGTAATAAATCAATAATGTTTTGTTCTAACTCTATACCTCACGATAAGAGCAAAAGGACGAGAAAAGCAAATAATCAACACTTTGCAATTATGACAGGTACTGGAAGAACATTACATAAGCTCAATATTTCTGAAGCTAAATCCACAAATAGGCTAAATATGATTGCTGAACAAATGTTTTCTAAGCGGATGCCTGAATCTGAGCCCACATTAGATTAGTTTTAATACATATAATACTTCTAATTTTTATAATGTGTCATCTACATATAAAAATTAGTGTGATCAACATAAAAGCTAAAACCTTGGTGTGTTATGGAAAAAAAAAAACACAAAAGGCTTGGGAATGCTGCACCCACATTTCTCATCTCATTCAAAAGAGACTTAGTAGAGGGAGGGTCTGTCCCACTGAATGCGTGCAGGTTCTCATAAGTTCGGCTACCTCTGCCCCTAGCCTCACACACCTGTGTTTTCCATGTCAGAGATACATGATTTTTAAGCCCTGGACAACTTCTCCCACAAATATGATTTGAGATTAGAAGACAAATTGTAGATACTGACAATAAGGGCACAAGTGTAATTATCCTTAGAACCATGCATGTGCATAACACTTGGAGCCATATTTCCCAGAGGTAGACTTACCATAGAGATTATGTGCGGGTCCTCCAACGATCTCTCCAGTGCACTCTCCCTGCTGTTGTTTCTCACACTGAAAGTTAGTTTGGACAGGGGAAGGCAGAGAGCACTTCCAAACCAGAATAAAATGATAGCCTGGTGTTGCATTTGAAACCTGCTGAACACGTGCAGTCACTTCGGGGCAATGCGTGCCTCAGGCATATCTCAAGCAGCCTGTGCCATCTAGGTTTCATCCTAACACTGACCTTGGATCGTGGAGGTGCCCGGATGTACCACTTGCAGTCCACAGCCTCACCGGCAGAAGCTTTGCCCTCCTTCAGAATTTGCATGGACTCCACAATTCCTTCAGGGCCGCCCATCTCAAACTCACAGGCTAAATGACAAAATGCCAAATCAACACACAACAGTAGAGCTTCAGTAATCAACCAAAAGTATGCTTTATGGCAGAAGATAAAGCCTTCTAAGCATTATTAAATATCTATTTTACTAACCTGGCAATGGTTTCAAAACCCCAAGGTCCTTAAAGTCAGGATCTTAAAAATTAAGAAAAAAGACAATTAGTCCTATTCTGCATTTGTTACTTAAATTAATATTGAGCAATATACAATTAAATTATCTATAAATCAGCCTAAAAACACAATAGGGCAAATTAAATGGCAAAATGTATGATAAGGTTACTCCTGAAGCATTTATTTATGCACCATGGTATCACAACTGGATTTTTCTCAATATAAAAGAGCACATTTTAAAAAGCCTTCCATGGGTGGGCACTTGTCCTAGTAGTTAAGATGCAAGTTAGGCTGTCCATGAGCTATAGCTGAGTCTCGGCCTTTGAGTCCCAGCCCCGCCTTCTCAGTGCAGATCTTGAGAGGAGGCAGTGATGGCCCAGTGCTTGGGTTCCTACCACCCATGCTGGACACTGGATTGAATCCCTTGCTCTTGGCTTTGGCCTAG